CCACCCCTAAGCACAGGGAGAGCAGGCAGCACATGGCCCTGTCTCTTCAGAAGCATGGGGCAGGTGAGTGGGCAGGCAGGCAGGCACCTCCTCCTCTGCCCCAGCCCCAGAGCACATGGAAGGCTGGCAATTCAGGGCTGACTCCGAGGCAATGAATGGGGGCAGGACTCTGCGGGCAAGGCCTCCCAGGCAGTTTGAGAAGGCATTGCTTTCCTCTGCTTCTTATACACCCCCTGCCCTGCCTTGGTCCAGTGGAGGCTAAAAACGCTCCACTTTGCTTTCAGGGGGCCTAGACATGCTGATCCTCAATCACATCGGTTACACCTACTTTAACTACTTCAATGGAGACGTGGAGCACATACGAAAGCTCCTGGAGACTAACTTTCTCAGCTACGTGGCCATGACGGTCTCGGCCCTGCCCATGCTGAAGGAGAGCACGGGCAGCATCGTGGTGGTTTCATCCAAAGCAGGTGAGAGTACACCAGACAAGAGGCCCTTAGGTTCTGTAAGGCTGGGGTCTTTCCTTCGGTTTAATTCCTCTTGCCCTTCCAAGGAAGCCTCCTGTGAAATTGCTTCTTGAACAGGGGGGGGGATCAGCCGAGAAGACTGAAATAGTCTTCATGATTTATATACTATATTCCCTTTGACTCCACTTTGCTGCTCAGCTTCCCGGTGGAGGAGAAAGCTGTGATGCACAGTCTGGAGGAGGGGGCTGCTCCAAGAGCAACTTGTCTTACGTACGTACATACGCCAGTGTGAAAATGAGATGGTCAGACAGCACACGGGCAGACTGCTTCCAGAAACCTGAGCCTACCACTAGTGCCTAGTTCCCAGAGAGCAATTCTGCCTTTAGAATTGACTCCCATCTTCTGAAGCTGCCTCTTCACGCAACCAGGCACAACCAAAAAACAACACCGCCCCTGTGTGTCTTCCTAACAGTGAACACTCCTTCGCACACTAAGCAAAAGTCCTTGTACGACTGCAACACAACTACATAACATCTGCCATCACGGTGCAGTGTGTTTGTTTGTCTGTTACTTACACATTCACTGTTCTAAACATGGACACGTGTTCTATGCAAGGGTCACGTTTCTCATGAGGTCATTCAGACCACCTATTGATAATACATTTATATCATCCCAGGCCATCATATATTTTGTCCACACTACATATTACTATGCTAGAGATGTTTTAGAATCCTCTACCATACCCCTCATGCCAAGTCTAGTGTTAGTTGGTTTACTTATTATACCTTGCAGCCTATTCACATAATTAGTTATCATGAGTCAAAATATGACATCAGCTGAAGGATAAGGAAGATAGAATGACAATGTTTCTGTGCACTGAAAGTATTTAGACTCAAACTTCACTGTTGCATGTCTCTCCAGGTAAAATTGGAATTCCGTTTGCTGCTTCCTATTCTGCGACTAAGTTTGCCCTGGATGGGTTTTTCAGCTCCTTGCGACAGGAATTAATCATTGAGAATATCAATGTTTCTATCACACTCTGCATCCTGGGCCACATTGCTACTGGTACAATCAACATTGTTATTTAGCCTTGCTAATTTGGAGCTCTGCACATACACTATCTGGGCATAAAAATATTACTCACATTCAGAGAGTAGAGAATGCTGACATATGGATGCTTTTTTTCTTTGTTAGTATGAATGTTTTTAATGTAATGCTATACTTTTTAAAAGTAGTTTCATTATTCTCCTTAGGACTCTTTACAAACTGAACCCAAATCTCCTAGAAATTCGCCATGTCACCTTCAAAATGAAAGAACTATTGTTATTTAATTCAGAGTATTGCCTTAACTTTCATGCAAACCTATTCAGCGCTTCTCAAAACTGCAGCAGCACTGATTTTATAGTCACAAGAAGTTCAGCCAAAATATGAGGGTCTCAAACTTGTTGAGGTCATTATTATTTTATTTTTACAACATATTTTATTTTAATTTTGGCAAACAACTAAAAGGCAAGGTACAGAATTTTCATACACATCTAATTGACTTAGTAGCTGAAGTCCTGTTTTTAAAAGGCACTTAGGCACTCATGACTCTTAAGTCATTTTTGAAAATGGGATTGGAGTACTTCTGAAAATTTTATCTTAGCCTTGGTAATAAAATTAGCAAAAATAAATAAAAACAATAATACATTTCCATTCTATAGATATTCAAAAAGCAGGGGAGAAGTAATACATCTCACCAAGTTTCTTTTTTAGAAGGTAGCAGGTTTAAAACAAACAAAAGCAAGTAGTACTTTATGCAAGGCATAGCCAACCTGTGGAACTCCTTGCCAGAGAATGTTGTGAGGACCAGGACATTAACAGGGTTAAAAAAAACCTAGATAAATTCATGCCTAGATAAATTCAATGGCTGTTAGCCAGGATGGGCAGGAATGGTATCTCTAACTGCTATTTGTCAGAAGCTGAGAACAGGTGACAAGGGACGGATTACTTGATGGTTCCCTGTTCTGTTCGTTCCCTCTGGGCATCTGGCATTGGCCGTTGTCGGCAGACACTGCGCTAAATGGACTTTGGTCTGACCCAGTCTGGCCGTTCTAAAAAATAGTTTAGTTCATCTCAACACCTGGGTTTTTTTAATCCAGGTATTTAGTAACTAGGTTTCAGAATGCGATTTCCATTGCGCTGCCCAGGTTTGTGATGACACAACTGTCTTTCTTGCATTTCCTCTCCTCCCAGAAACTTCTCAGAAAATGGCTTCCCACGTGTTACGGAGCCCAGCTGCACTGAAGGAGGAATGCGCACTGGAGATTATCAAGAGTGGAGCTCTGCGGAAACGGGAACTACACTATCCGTACAGCTCTGTGAAAATCCCCCTCTTAATACGAGACTGGGCCCCAGAATTTTTGGACTCTCTCACAAGAAATAATTTAAATGTGGAAAATGTGAAAAGAAGTTAGGTTGTCACTTGCACCAGGACCTAGAAAATAGAGTGAATGGCATGAACTTCAGGTGAAGGGGATATTTTGTTTTCAGTCTCAATATTTTGGACACTATTTTCAAATGCATCTGAATGACTTGGCAGCAACAAATCCGATGGACTTGCAGTGAGGCTTGTATATCTAAGGCCCTCTGGTGCTTCTGAAAAATCGGTTTCCTTTATTTTTATGGTTTTCCGTCTGGAAATGAGATGATTGGGCAAACCAGCAAACTCTCCACTGAGGGAAGAACAGCATTAGCAATGGCTGTGTTCATGGTTGCTGGGATGGGTTTGGACTTTGAACCATAGCAGTCATTCTTAGACAGGGGTGGACAATAGGAAGATGGCCGTTCACCAGGGTTAGCTGCTGGTGGAACACTGCTGTGCCGCAATAGGTAGGGGTGCTTGCAGGTCCTGCTGGCCACAGACCACAGTTCCCAGCCAATGGGAGCTGCGGGAAACAGCTTGGAACAGGACACCACTTCTTGCAGCTCCCATTGGCTGTAAACGGTGATCTGCAGCCAATGGGAGTTGCTAGCACCCGTTCCTATAGAGGCACAGGTAAATACAGTACAGTGGCCTGCCAGGGGCTAACTCTGGCAAACCACATCCAGCCTGTGGGCTGGTTTTTGTCCACTACAGTTCTTACATCTCCCAATGCTGCAGACAGCTCAGGCTGTTTCAACAGCAGCCTTCCCATTTTCTCTGCTGCAGATTGCTTAAGAAGAAATCTGCATTTTAAATGCTCTTGCAAAACCCAGGGTGAGCAGCCTCAAGCATCGCATCTCCCAACATCCTTTCAGGCTAGATACTAATCATCATCATTCGCAGCGTTGAGCCGCATTATAGTGGTGCCTAGGAGCCCAGGCAGGGATTGGAGCCCTATTTTGCTGTGCATTGGACGCACACGTCGGAAGATTTCCGGTCCCAAACAACTTACAGTTTTGCACACAAGAATGCCCACATCTAGAGGTCAGTTCTGCATTCCATGAACACCCAAAACTCCAGTCAAACCTGACTTCAAGTTCCTACCCACTTCACTAGTTTTTGGGCAGAATCTTCCAAGTTCAGAGATCACATCTTTCAGCACGGACGTGCAGGCACATCTGTGGCTGAAAACAGCTGCATTTCAAGAGACCCGTCCAAAAATCTTTGCAATGGGTGGTAGAAAACCTATAGCAGCACCAAGAACATAATAGCTTTAAGAAACCGCAACCTCATTTTTAAGTTCTTATTGATAACGTACATCAGGAAACCATACTAAGAGCTATGAAAACTATTCCTGTCACTGACTGCTGGGCGTCAAAAGCACAGTGAACTTATGCTTCTTCAAAATTAAGTGCAGTGGGATAAAAACTTACACGGAGTCCCACAAATTATCAAAAATAATCATGTATAAAGCGTAATGGAGTAACAGAGGATGTGAATAAAGGAGACTCTGTGAAAGGTGTATTTTACGTATTTCTCTCCAGTTGTTTACAATGGTTTGACGTATTACTTAGGTTGTTTGTGATTTTACATAATTTCCCCAAAGTTTGGATCTAAAAAATACAAATAAAGCAACGAGACACAATCCAGCAAGCTCCACAGGGGCAGGAAGCCTGTGGGCTGGTTTTTGTCCACTACAGTTCTTACATCTCCCAATGCTGCAGACAGCTCAGGCTGTTTCAACAGCAGCCTTCCCATTTTCTCTGCTGCAGATTGCTTAAGAAGAAATCTGCATTTTAAATGCTCTTGCAAAACCCAGGGTGAGCAGCCTCAAGCATCGCATCTCCCAACATCCTTTCAGGCTAGATACTAATCATCATCATTCGCAGCGTTGAGCCGCATTATAGTGGTGCCTAGGAGCCCAGGCAGGGATTGGAGCCCTATTTTGCTGTGCATTGGACGCACACGTCGGAAGATTTCCGGTCCCAAACAACTTACAGTTTTGCACACAAGAATGCCCACATCTAGAGGTCAGTTCTGCATTCCATGAACACCCAAAACTCCAGTCAAACCTGACTTCAAGTTCCTACCCACTTCACTAGTTTTTGGGCAGAATCTTCCAAGTTCAGAGATCACATCTTTCAGCACGGACGTGCAGGCACATCTGTGGCTGAAAACAGCTGCATTTCAAGAGACCCGTCCAAAAATCTTTGCAATGGGTGGTAGAAAACCTATAGCAGCACCAAGAACATAATAGCTTTAAGAAACCGCAACCTCATTTTTAAGTTCTTATTGATAACGTACATCAGGAAACCATACTAAGAGCTATGAAAACTATTCCTGTCACTGACTGCTGGGCGTCAAAAGCACAGTGAACTTATGCTTCTTCAAAATTAAGTGCAGTGGGATAAAAACTTACACGGAGTCCCACAAATTATCAAAAATAATCATGTATAAAGCGTAATGGAGTAACAGAGGATGTGAATAAAGGAGACTCTGTGAAAGGTGTATTTTACGTATTTCTCTCCAGTTGTTTACAATGGTTTGACGTATTACTTAGGTTGTTTGTGATTTTACATAATTTCCCCAAAGTTTGGATCTAAAAAATACAAATAAAGCAACGAGACACAATCCAGCAAGCTCCACAGGGGCAGGAAGCCATCATGGGAGCTTGAATGAAACACAGATTTGAAAAGGATGAGTGTTTATTCTTATGCGGCCGAACGGAAAGCCCACGTAAATCAAGAGGAGGCTTTCCATTGATTTCAATGAGCTTTGGATTGGATTTGTGGGCAGCATTCGGCTTTGGTTAACAACTATCAATGTGCTGAAATGTTGCCTGGCTGTAGGATGGAGAACGAGCACATGCACAGGCCTGGTGGCCAAAGACGTCCCTTTCCCTGGGGTAGTTCTTTTATTTGCAGTGAAAACGGCAAAGCTCAGCCTGAACATTCTCATCCAAGCAAGGGTGTCCCTAGGTTTCCCCCTCCCGCCCACATCCACCTCTCTCCTGTGGCAGGTGGAATCACCCCATGCTCCTCACACCGAGTCGGTATCAATGAGTTCACACTGCCACCTGCTGATAGCAGAGTCTGGGTACATGGGCACCTTCCCATCTCAGAAGTGAGGCAAAACAGGGAGGGCAGGTTCTTTGTTCCCCACAGGGGATGCCCACTGGAAGATACCCCAAGGGATGGAGGTGCCTCAGAAAGCAATAAGGCCTGAAAGCCATTGGGGTAACATTGGACAGCCCATTCCAGGCACTCTAGTATTGCAGAGTGACGAGGCTGAACGGTAGCCAGCATGACTTTGGGCTACGTGCACAGCAAATTGGGTGGGCAAGGAGGCTGTTGCTCCTGAGAACACCTGGAACAGTGCACGGAGGTTCCCGGCCCAATGCCTACCAGGATAATGGAGATGGACAGCCGACATTCCCCTTGGACAGCAATAACTGGAGCCCTCTGGGCCAAATAATCCCACAGGACGTTCAGAAACTTAACATATGCAACGGAACAAGGGTGTTTTCAGTAGGACACAAATACAGAGAAAGCAAGGGGCATACAGGAAATCTGGTGTCCTGTCCCCAAGAGGGTTTATTTTGGGATACCGAAGGCAGCGCTACAGGAGAGTCTCACTTTTCATTTTAGCACTGTTTAGCTGTAGAAGTGGTTCAAGCCTCACAGCTGGATGAGTCCTGAGAAAATAAGGATGGAGCAGTCCCAAGGAAAATGGCTGCATTAAAGTTTCCTGTTCTTCCATTTTTACATGGACATGCCTGTTTGGTGCAGCCACTAACACCTGCGTCACTCTGGCGTTTGTGAATTCTGCCAGTTGCTGTGGGGCACATTTCGTACTGCACAAGGCAGTTTGAATGTAAACTAGGGGCTTGGAAAGGCTGCCAGATGGAGAGATTAAAAAGACTGGGACTTTTCGGCTAAGAGAGTAAGGAGTGTGGGTATGATAGAGGTCAATAAAATCATGGTTGGTGTGGAGGAAATCAATAAGTAAAAGTTATTTACAGTAAAACCTGTGTTATCCAGCACGCTCAGGGATTAGAGCATTCTGGTTATCTAAAAATTCCAGTTATCTGAGGGTCCCATCAACCTAGGAAAACCAATGGGCAATAATAGTAAAACTCAAGTTTTTGATATTGGTAGTTTTGTAGTGAGACAGTTGGTCTCACATTTCTATTTTGAGTTAAAGATGATTAGTACTTCTTAAATAAAAAATTGGTAAGCCAATCATGGTCAACCAAGCCAGGCCTGTGCGCCTGAAGATGTGACAGTACTGTGGCCAGTTAACAGAGTGCCAGATAAATATTTCACTGTACTTGTTTCCATAAACACAAGATTTGTCATCAAATGGAATGAATAGATAGCAAGTTTAAATGAACAAATGGCAGCTTTTCTTCACACAACTCACGGTCAACCTGTGGAACAACTTGCCAGAGGATGTTGCGAAGGCCAAGACTTTATCTGAGTTCAAAAAAGAGCTAGATAAATGTATGGAGGATAGGTCCATTAATGGCTGAGAGCCATGTTGGGTAGAAATGGGTGACAGGGAGGGATCACTTGCTGATTCCCTGTTCCGTTCACTCCCTCTAAGGCATCTGGCATCAGCCATGGTTGGAAGACAGGACACTGATCTTGATGGACCTTTGGTGGCCGTTCTTCTGTAATGCTACCTTCCTTGCCTACCCCAGGGTTCTTCGTGCCAAAGACAGCAGGGCAGAGTCAGCCACAGAGCGCCTGGAACAGCTCCTGGGGATGGCAGAGCCTCAAGGTGCAGCGACTGATAAAGGGAGGAACAGCCCCGGACCCCGGCGATAGTAGAATGCAGCCTGGCCCACAAGCAGATAACCAAACGACTAGCCTGGACTGAGCACCAGTGCTCTAAGCTTGTGCCCTTGCCTCCCCTACCATGTCACAAACTCAGCAGAGACAGGAACCTGTGTTAAGTGTTGCGGCTTTGAGTACATTTCCTGTTTCCAAAAAAAAAAAAAAAACAACCATCATACCACGCAGCAGCAAAGAGAAGTCATTCAAACGAAGATGTCAGTTGCAATGCGTTAGCGCACAGTAACCCAGGGCTCACCCTTCTCCTTTCTGCCTTGGGACGTATCGGAGCACGGGGAGCACAACAGGGCCTCTGAACCTCTGGTGAATCCACTCAGGGCTGCGCTGGCTGAGCAGAGGTAAGAACCTTTAGATGTGTGGCTGGCAATGGATGTGCAGAAAACGCTGGCCCTGTGAAGGGAGGCAATTTGTGGCTTTTCCCCCTGGTTTCAGCCGGCATGATTGACACTGGAGATTGTAACATGAACCGGCAAGGTTTTTTTTTTTTTTCCTTGAAGTTATGAGTGTTACAGCATGCAAGGGAGAGATAAAGGGCACGCTCGTTAATTAGAAAGAGTCCTTTTGGGTTGCCACCGAAGGAAATAAAACCCATAACTCATCAGCTTTCTGAGCGTGGGGCAAGTAATAGATCACACATTCCTTTGCCTTTCTTTCTTGCGCTAAAAGTTGGAAGGTACTTTCTGTATAAATCAAGCGTAAAAGCAAGTCCTGCTTCCTGGGATGAATACTGAACAGGCTCTGAAAGAATGCAGTCAGAGCAGGTGAGAAGGTAGCTGAGCTGCTTGTAAGAAGAGTCTAACCAACCCGGTCTTTTTGAGTACATAAGTCCTACACCCGGATGCATAGGTAGTAGCTCCCACATTCAACACTGGACTGGGTCATTTTTAAAATATATAGATAAAAACAGAGAAAAATCTCCTTTGCAGGGCCTAAAAAGTTTGGGGGCAAGTTGTCTGCAGGGGAAGGAGTTTCCTACTGTAGCAGAATTTGATTCAGTTTTGGAGGAGTTTCACCTCCGGCATGTTGGTATAGGCCCAATCACTATTCATTTCAATGTCTACGAAGCTGTTCACCAGCTTTACCCACACCCTCCTGCGGGAGGGGTGCTGCGGAGACTATGCGTGAAAGAGAAACCCCAGAATGAGGGCCACAATGAAACCAGTAAGAACATAAAACTGTGTAGAAACAGCATTTTAAGGATTGTATAACGTGAGTTCCCCAGTTCTGTTATTTCTCCAGCTGAAAGTTTGCAACGATAAACACCAAGTAGCAGGTTTTGATGAGATGCGGAGGGGGGAGGAGTGGGAAAATTACGTGAAAAAAAATGAGCTTTTTTCAAGGACAGGGAGCCGTTTGAGAGTCAACAGCATCTCCAAACAAATAATGAAAACAAACAAACCAAAGTGCAGGGCCATTCAGAAAGTGAGTCCTTTCCATTTTGTCTTGGAAGTCCTTGTTTCCCTGATTAGCTGGGGGAACGTTTACGGTGATGCGTTCATGGCCAGGTTCCATATATTTTTTCTACATAAAAGCATGATCCCTTTTCACGGTCATCAATAGCCAACTCATATCGGAAGGGACTTCCTAGTCTAATGGAAAAGACTTCAGTGAAATGTTTTGGCTGTGCCATCACAAGAAGAGTGCTTAGCTGTCCTGGTTCTTTAAATGTAGCTATAACTATGTTATGGGGCAGGTTATTATAAACGTCCCCCCAACTTTTCCTCCCCTTCCCCAAAATCTTGCAGACTTTTAATTTGACACCACTAAATGCCCTTCAAAGCCAGTGGCTTTCCAGTTATTTGGGACAAAGAAATGCTAGCGAAATGGCTTTAGGAGGAACAAAGTTAAACCTGTTTATTTTTTCAGAGACTAAATTTCCCTATTTTCTCATCACTTTAGTTGCCACTTTTTCTTTCGGACAGCCAGGCTCTCTGACTCAACAGTGGTGGGAGCATGACAGGTACCTAGACAGAGAGTGTCCAGACCTTTGAAAGCGCTTGAACAGGCTTTTGATCTCATCTAGCTACATCTCAATCTGTCTTTCAGCACTGAATGTGAGGGTGCAGGACGCTGTTATGCTTATGAAGACATTAAGGACTTTATCACAGGGTTGCTATAAAAACAATGTAATATACGTTGATGAGAATCTGAAAAATGTTTGCTATGAATGGATGTGGCTACCCACCCTTAGCTTCTTGGCCCAGTGGTGTGGGTACCAAGCCAGAGACTTTTGAAAATCTGGAGATGGGAATTTGCTTTTTTCAGTGGAGTCAGCAAGAGGAGAACTATACCCTGGGTTTCGATCACGTTAGCTGGTCAAAATAAAATGGATATGCCATCTCAGGGCTGCAGTGCAATTCCCCTCCCAACACCCAGAACTGTACACATCTCAGGGGCATTAGGACCCAGGGGTGCACTTTACTGTCTACCCCCTGCCAGTTAGGCATCCTTGGGAAAAAATTATAGGAAGAGACCAACCTGGGCTTCCTGCCATAGGGGTAGAAGCAAAATTGGCCAAAGCAGTGTTGGCTGTTGGATCCAGTTCTTCACCACCCTCGGACTCTTCACTTCAGCTTCTCTGCACACCTGCCTCTCGCCTTCCTCCTCCACCCTGCTCCCCTCGCCCGCCCTTTCCTGTTTAGCTGATCACCTCCTAATTCCTCCAGCGCTGCCATCACACTGTCCATTTCACTGGTGTGTTCTGCCTCTCCCCCAACTCTGGGTCTGTGCAGTGCTTAGCATAGCGAGTGCTGGTCCTTTCATAGACGCATAGAACACTAGAACTGGAAGGGACATTTAGAGGGTATCAAGTCCAGTCCCCTGCCCTCACGGCAGGACCAAGCACCATCTAGACCAGAGTTTCTCAACCTTTTTATAAAGTACCCCTTTGTCAAAAAAAAATTGTAAGTTTCCCCAGTACCAACAGTTTTCAGACACACAACATTTTCGTCTATCATTGCAACACTTTTGTTTAAACAACTTAATCGTAGCCGGGCGGGCGATGAAATTTTTAGGTGTAAAAAGTACAAAAATAATAAAGTGCAATAAAACTTAAAACAAAAATTCAGTTTTCTCCAAATTTCAATTGCGCTGACATACCCTCCCCTCTCCCCCAAGACTTCTCTTAAATACCCTAACGGTACTCGTACCCACTGGTTGAGAAACACTGATCTAGACCATCCCGGATAGATGTCTGTGGAACCTGCTCTTAAATGCCTCCAATGATGGAGATTCCACAACTCTCCTAGGCAACTTATTCCAGTGTTTAACCACCCTGACAGGAAGTTTTTCCTAATGTCCAACCTAAACCTCCCTTGTTGCAATTGAAGCCCATTGCTTCTTGTCCTATCAGAGGCCAAGGAAAACAATTTTTTCTCCCTCCTCCTTGTAACACCCTTTTAGGTACTTGAAAGCTGCTATCCTATCCCCTCTCAGTCTTCTCTTTTCCAGACTAAAGAAACCCAATACTTTCACTCTTCTTTCATAGCTCACGTTTTCTAGACCTTTAATCATTTTCCTTGCTCTTCTCTGGACCTTCTCCAATTTCTCCACAGCTTTCCTAAAATTTGGTGCCCAGTCGTGGACACAGTACTCCAGCTGAGGCCTAATCAGCGCAGAGCAGAGGAGAAGAATGACTTCTCGTGTCTTGCTCACAACGCTCCCATTAATGCATCCCACAATCATGTTTCCTTTTTTTTGACATAGGATCACACTGTTGACTTTTGGCACAGCACAATAAGCATGAGCCATATTAACTAAGAATCTCAAGAGATAGGAGAAGTTTGCATAAGAATTGTCCAAATACAGCAGGCAAAAAAAAAGAGAGCAAAGCGTACAGTTGGTCTGGAAGGCAACAAAGTGAAGTATTTCAGCTGACAGCCATTCCTGTCTGCTGGTGCATTCATCCAATCCCAAACTGCTCAGCAGAATGCCTTGCATCCTCACATGATCAGCCAAGCCACATTTCTGGAATGTGAATGAGGATTATCCCTCTGGATTAAGGAGCAGGGAAACTCTGTGCTAGCTAATAAGGGGTAAGAGGGAAAATGTGATGTTTTTAGGGGTCTTGTCAGTGTCTGTGTCATGTGGTGTTCTGTGTTCTCCCTTGATGGTGAAGAGGGAAAGACCCAAACACCATCCTTATGGCTGCAGCCTGGTAAAGTAAAGAGGGAAACTTGCAAGTGAGCAGAGACTTCTGTAGGAGGAAGCAGAGAGAAGGTATTATCATGCGTTCTGAACATGTTCACAGTGTCAGGAGGCTCATTCTTAGGGCAGGCCTCTGCTGCCGTCTACCTGCTTTGCTCGAGCTGTAAACCAAAGAGAAATGGAGGCAAACGCACCAGGCCGAGCAGTGCCACTCTGCTCTGCTTCTGGCTCTCCCCTCGTCTGAGCATGTTTCTACTGGGCGTACACATGAATGTATTTAATATTTACAGTCGACAGGGACAGGCGGCAGGGCCTGGAGACACGTAAGGACACGGTGTTACAGCCGGCTGAGTCTTTGTGAGGAAACAGAAAGGAACTGGAATGTACCATTTAAGTCAAACTCTTGCAGAAGGTGGGCGGTGAAGAATAGGAACTAAAAGAATCAGTCACTCTTCAGTGTTAGGGGGACCGTTCTCTTCAGATGGAGGGAGCTCTTAAAACAGGTGAGACAGAAATAACTAGATATTGCAACTCTTCTGTAGAAAAGGCAATGCAGTATGGTAACACAAGCTCCATGTCCCAGCTCTCTCTGAGCATGCATAGAAGGCAAACAGGGCTTAGAAATACATGCAGCTGCACGAAACATAAATGACAGAATAGCCAACTTCCTACAGCAACAGTCAGTTTTTGGAACAGACTGGAAGACTATAGGGACGTGGGAAAAGAACACAAGTTCATTCTTACAGAAATGCCAGGAGCCGTTATTCTTACTGTAGTCTTATAACTGGGAGCAGGAGGACAAAACCGAGCAAAAGAAAATGTAGACTAGCAGGAGGGATTTGATCGTGGCCAGATCTGATGCTGCAGAAAAAACCTCCTAAAGAAGGTGGTGGAAGCTTCATCTCATGGAGCATGATTGAAACGGAGTAGAGAACTGGGAAATTTACTGCAAGGAGCAATCCTGTATTAGCTCGTGTGTGGGAGGGTGGTGGGGGGGATAGGGAGATGGAGAAGATGGGGCAGAGTCTACATCTAGACTACAAGCCTCTTTCAAAAAAGAATCTTTCAAAAGAGAGTGTCTAGACTGCAACCACTTCTTTTAAAAAAGTGAGCCGCTTTTTCGAAAGAGAGCACCCAGGCAGTCTGGATGCTCTCTTTCGAAAAAGCCCTGGTTGCATTCAAGAACGCCTTTTTTTGGAAGAGTACTTTAGAAAAAAGGCATTCTTCCGCGTAAAATGAGGTTTACCGCGGTCGAAAAAACCACCAAGTTCTTTCGATTTAATTTTGAAAGAACGTGGTGGCAGTCTAGATGCCGGGGAAGATTTTTCGAAAAAAGGCCACTTTTTTCCAAAAAAACCTGTAGTCTAGACACCCTCCCCCCTGTGTTTAGCACAATGCCTGTGATTTCATGACACAACTCTGACAACGATGTCACCTGCACACACTGAATATGGGGACTATTCTTAGAATTGGTGTCGCTTCCTACATTTATTCAGCCTCCATCCTGATCATTGGCTCTCACTTGATCACTTCTCTCCCCCACCTTTGGTTTCGTCAGGAAGGAGCTTCACCAAAGTAGCCAGACCCTCACAGGTTGGTGTGTTGTGCGTGGAGCTGTGGACAGGATGATCAGTCAGACGGAGAAGTCCCCGCGCCGGTGCAGGCCCTTGAGCGAGAGTTACGAGGAGAAGTGCGAGCGCCGGCATGAGACTCGCGAGAGCTTGTGGAGGAGGAACAATGTCACCACATGCCGTCGCGTGGGGCAGTATCGGAGGAAGGAGGCGGAGGAGCAACCCCAGAGTCCTCGCCAGAAAGAGTTCCTGAAGAGAAGGAACTTAGCTACTGATCCCCGCGCCGGTGCAGGCCCTTGAGCGAGAGTTACGAGGAGAAGTGCGAGCGCCGGCATGAGACTCGCGAGAGCTTGTGGAGGAGGAACAATGTCACCACATGCCGTCGCGTGGGGCAGTATCGGAGGAAGGAGGCGGAGGAGCAACCCCAGAGTCCTCGCCAGAAAGAGTTCCTGAAGAGAAGGAACTTAGCTACTGAA